TCTGGCGGGCAGAGTGCGCGCATTTAAGCGCACACATAATTTCACACACAGGCAGAAACACACGTGGGCTGGCAGACGGAAACACACACGCTCTATCTCTCTATCTGTCTGTGTCTTTCTGGTCTGCTCTGTCTCTCTGTCTCTATTTCTCTCTCTCTCCCTGTAACCCTCTCTTTCTCTTTTTTTCCCCCCCCCCCCCCCCCACACCGCTCACCCACGCGCACCGGGCCTTGCACTTCGAATGCCGTGCCAGCTCCTGTCGTCTAGACGTGGAGTCGCGAGGGACCAGCCTGGCCCTTGCCCCACCACCTCGTGTGTGTGGAGACGTGTACCTGACCTCACCTGACCTTAGGCGGTGAACGCGCTCGTGCAGCCCGTGCGGGAGCACTTCGCCACAAACGAGCGGGCGGCGACCATACTGTCCACCATCACGGGCTGGATGGCGGAGCCGAAGGCGAGCCGAGATATGGGGAGATATGGGGAGATATGGGGAGATATGGGGAGGTATGGGGAGGTGTGGGGAGGTGTGGGGAGGTATGGGGAGGTATGGGGAGGTATGGGGAAGAGAAAAGAAGGTGTGGGGAGGTGTGGGGAGGTGTGGGGAGGTGTGGGGAGGTATGGGGAGGTACGGGGAGGTATGGGGAGGTATGGGGAGGTACGGGGAGGTACGGGGAGGTACGGGGAGGTACGGGGAGATGTGGGGAGTGACGCAGCGCGAGCCGTGCCTCTCCGCCGCGGACACAAGCGTCGAGCAGCGAGATCAGCCTACGCGCTGAATACGCCGACATGAGGGCGTGGATACGTATTATGCAAGGTTTCCAGCATACTCAGAGCAACGCGTGAATACAACGGATAGGAAGACAGCGGAAGGCAGTGGAATACAAGTGTCTCTCGAAGTGCTGGTTGGGAGACATGTTCCGCGTCTAGCGAGACCAGCATGGTTGGCGACGGGCCGTGGTCCTCGCGCCGCATCTGCTGCAGCAGCTCGCAGGCGCGCCGCGGCGCCTGGCCCGACAGAGGTGAAGTGAGGGAGAGGTAGACGTCGCCACACACACGAGGTGGTGGGGCAAGGGCCAGGCTAGTCCCTCGCATCTCCACGCCCGGACACGCGCGCGCAGGAGCTGGCACGGCATTCACAGTGCAAGGGCAGGAGCCCCGCGGCACGGGGGCCCCAAAGAACAGGGAGGGGTGAGTGAGTCCGCTCAGGCTGGCACCGCCCGGCCGAGCTAGGCTGTCCCTCGGCTGCATCTCGGCTGTCTCTCTCGGCTGTCTCTCTGTCTCTCGGCTGTCTCTCGGCTGTCCCTCGGCTGTCTCTCGGCTGTGCCTCGGCTGTGCAGCTATACCTCGGCTGTGCCTCGGCTGCACCTCGGCTGCCTCTCGGCTGCCTCTAGGCTGCCTCTCGGCTGCCTCTCGGCTGCCTCTCGGCTGCCTCTCGGCTGCCTCTCGGCTGCCTCTCGGCTGCCTCTCGGCTGCATCTCGGCTGCCTCTCGGCTGCCTCTCGGCTGCCTCTCGGCTCCTCTCGGCTGCCTCTCGGCTGCCTCTCGGCTGCCTCTCGGCTGCCTCTCGGCTGCCTCTCGGCTCCTCTCGGCTGCCTCTCGGCTGCCTCTCGGCTGCCTCTCGGCTGCATCTCGGCTGCATGCCGACTGTTGGCAGGCTGTCTCTCGCCTGCCCCTTGACGCAGGCGTCGACAAGCGCGGTGTAGGTGATCGCGTCGGGCGGGTTGTTGTAGTGGTACATCAGCCGGAGGACCTGCAGACAAAGGAGCGCGAGATATGGGGAGATATGGGGAGATATGGGGAGACAGACGGCCTCGGTGCCGTGCCCTATTACACTTTATATCAACTGTTATTTGTCAGGAGAGGTGCGCTTGTGATGTGCAGGGCGTGAATGCGGATCTCATCACGATCATGGCGGCGCTGGT